CAAGATGTACTCAATCCCAGCATCCACCAGAGTCAACCAATCAGCAATCGTACGACCTTGCGGTGGCGCGTTTCGATGTGGCGTGGTTCGTTGTGGCCCAAAACTCGCGTCGGCCTCTTTGTCTGGGAGGGCATCGCTGCTGACTGTCGTTGCGCCACCACTTGCAACCTCGCGATCATTTCCTGTCGCTCTGTTGAATTCGCGTTCGAATTCCCTGGCTGTGCTCTCGTGTCGTGTCGTGCACTCTTGAATTTGGAAGCTCGGTGATCAATACACGCCCATCGCCACTGAGTTCGAGAAACCGAAGGCCGACCCGCAGTCTTTCCTGACCACGAACGTACGCATTGAAGGCGTCAACGGATACACCGTCGCACACGAAATAGGGATTGACATCGTCGTCTTTGTTGTCGAAGTGACGTGCAACGTCGTGGAGGTCAATAGCACTCATAAAGTGGCGAATATCATCGGCAGTTGTGGGCAGAGTCACAGCAGCTGATGCAGTTGAAACAGTCGTTGGTGTTGCAGTCGTCGGTGCAGCAGTCGCAGTCATCGTTGCACCACTCGGTTGAGAGAGCTTTTGTCTCTTGGTAGGCGTGTAGGACGAAGCCGTTGATGTCGCCCCGTCCCACGCACCTGCGATCATGTTGCTTGGACGTCGAAAATGGGAATGGGCGTGGGCATTCGGTTTCCGGATAATGTTGTTGCAGTTCAATGTCTGGACAGTCTCCCATTGGCTGAAACTCGACATGTTGTATTTTGATTAGCTGATTTTGAAGAATACCAACCAATCACAAGGGATTCAATCCTCATCAGAGCATCAGAGAAGCTGACGTGGCGTCCGGCCAGGCAGGCACAAGTGTGCCAGTTCACACTCGTGAAATGTCCTTGCTTTGACATTCCCTTTTCATGATTGTTTTTGGCGAGACAGCTGCAAGCGCACCATTACGTGTGGTCGAGTGCACAGGACTTGACTGCCCCCCAGCTATGCTTGGATCGTCAGTTGCATCTGAACCTTTTTGACTCTTCTTCTCTCGCTTCCCATTTTGACGGGGTCGCATCTTCCGTGGACCCACGTAGCGTTGGAATTGGTCAAGTGTACTACCACTGGTGGATTCTCGACCCACATTGTCTGGCAATGTGATGCAACTCTGTTGAAAACTCTCAACGTTCGGTATTGTCCATTGTATACTCGATGCGTGTGGTTGGAGGCTTTGTGGCTTTCACGTGTTTTGAAGGTGGTTGAGTTATCCTCTACGATCGATTTCCCTCCTATGGATATAAAGTATCCTTCAAATGATTTATGTTGGCATATTTTTTATTTTTGTTTTTGAGTTGTTTTGTTGGATATAATTGGCTACTAGTATTCTTTTGCTCCCGTTTGGTTTGAATTATTTACTTAAACTGACAACGACACAGTGAGTTTTCGACGGAAGCTGCGTTTGTGAATCGTCTCAGTCATTTGTCCTGATGTCATCTGCACCCACTGCAACGTGTGTCGTCATAAACTAGACATGGCTTGTGTCAGAATCAACTCACTGGATTCCCTTTTTTTTCACTCACAACACCTTGAGTGCGACACTCCAATGAAGCTTGTCTGAGGGGTGACGAGCCGCGTTCTAGGGTTGATTCTGATGCCGATGCGTGTGGGTGTACGAGAGGGTGTGTGGATGTGTGATGGTGTGGCGGTGTGTGGCGGTGTGTGGTGGGTTCTAGGGGTGCTGGGGTGTGGTCTAGGGTTGAGGAATTTGGGGAAATGCAAAAATCTTCTTTAACAGCCTTTACTCCTCCTGCATTGAAATGGTTTTCACAGTCAGCTAAGCTATCATGAATTATTCCACCATTTCAAAAACTTTTTTCGTACGACGTTTCGAGCAAATTTTCTGTTCTTTCCTTCGATAAAAATGAATTATTTAGTTTTCTCATGCCAGAAAATGAATTACTAGTATTGTGGATTCGATATGAATTTCCAGACCCGTTGAATCGAATCACGAATCGACGCTGTGGGCTAATCCAATTTTGAGTGGATTTGATTGATTGGCTCTTGCAGAAAGGACAAGTATACTCAACCAATCAAAACTCCAGCGTGATTCAATATTGATTCGACAAACCATGCGAATTTTGGAAGTTTGTAGCGAATTCACAATAATATATATGTACTAGTATGTATTCATGAAAAATGAATATTCGGTACTCCACGTTGTCGTCATCAATCATCCTGCTCGACGGTCTCGGCGGCGAACATGGTGGGCAGCCCCGCGATCAGCTCGTTGATCCCGTGCGGCGTACGGAAAGAAAATCGCCTAGTTTGTCGTTTTGTAGATTTATGCAGCTATTTTTAGAAAATCTACAAATTTCCAAAGTCTGCAAGCTTCGAAGTTTTAGTCGGAAGGAAAAGTAATTTCAGAGGAGTGCAAAACAGTGCCGACATGAAAACTTTGGCAGCACCATACAAGCAAGTACAGTACATACTACGTACAGTAGTCGCGTCGTCCAAGGATACCTGGAGGCAGAGTCAGGATTCCCCTTGACCAAACGCGCCGCGTTCCTTGAGCTTACAATCACAGTACTGTATCCATCGTGTAGACAGACAGATCGGAATCACATTTGCGCTACATTATTACAAGGGATAAAATACTTTTGCCCAGTTTAACCGGCTAGTAATTGGATATAATTGGACATTTATCCCAACCTGATGGGGTTGCCCCACGATTGCAGCTGTCAATCAACCTACTACTACGTAGTAGTATTTATTAATGTTATCGTTATCAATGCATATGGGCTTACTGTGAACGTTACTATTAATAGTATTAATAATTGCTCTATTATCAATTTTAGAGCATCTCCCTCACCTTTTATTCAAAATACACTACAAACAGTCAAATTTTAATATTTTTGACAAATAATTTAAAACAAATTGACTAAGACCTATTATTGTCCTACGTAGTACTAGTATACTGTAGTATACTGTACTGTACTCGAGTAATCTGTAAACGAAATCTTACTTTTCTGCTCAACAATGCAGGTATTGGAATGATGATCGTTGATTGTCCTTCG